ATTAACTAGATGTCACTAGTCTCTCCCTCAGTCATAAGAATCAAAAAATGTGTCTAGACCTTGCCCAATGTTCTCTGGGGAACAGAACTAGCCCAACAGAGAACCACTGGACTGGAAGATAATTTTGGAAAAATCACCGTGTCAATGAGTTGTAGAAGTTTGAGAGTATTTTGATTGTCCTTTCAGAAATGTTTTATGAAATTAAATGTACTACATTCTGCCCAGCAGACCTAACATAACGATTGACATTCCTATTGGCTGAGATTATGTGCTGCCTCCTGCATGCATATTAATTTTGGTTTTGTTTTCTGTTGATTAGGTGGACGAGCTTTTAGAAAAGTACATGGACTCTTACGATATTGTTTTAGTAAAAGAGGAGTCATTGGAACTAGCCAACTCTATCTTACAGAAGATTCTATAATATACGTTCGTCAGGAAGCCCTCTCGTCTGCAGGCGTGATGGATGCAGAAACTGCGTATCTGTTCTTGCTCTGAAAGACTTTATTTATAACATCTTCTGGCTCTGGATCGTTTTCCTTACAGAAGTATTTTCAGCCATGTCGACTCCATCACTGGAAACTCCTTCTCTCTTCCTCACAACACACTCCCCACCGTGTCTTTTTGTTTTTTAACACATTTTTAAAAATCTGAAAGCCAAAATAACTCTCTACTTTGCCCAAGTGGACTTTGTAGTTTAGTTTTATCATGGATCTTTGGGGAGAGGAGTCTCTATAGTGAGAAAGTTCCCGAATGTTTTAAGAAGTTTTTTGAAATGGTGAAATAATGTATATAATTGGAATGAGTGATGCTATCACCGTCTTCTGAAATTGTGTGATAATTAGTAATTTCGTTTGAGAGAGGAATAAATGCTCACCAGGAAAGATTGGCAGTTGGTGTTGGGTGAAAAAACTCCCAGTGTCTACATGTCACCAATCATTACAAAATGTTCTGTACTGAAGCACTGATAATAAACATGAGATGGGAAATCTTTTTAATTCTACTGTCGAGACTATCGTTATTCATTCTTTCAACAGATACTTGTTAAGTACCCATCATTTTCTTTCCTTTTTTGCTGATAGAGAAATAATAATGTCCCTGTCCTAATGGCTGTGTGTCAGCCTGCTAACCAGAAGGTCAACCATTAGAAACCTCCAGCCACTCCTCGGGAGACAGATGAGGCTGTCTACTTCCTGT